AGCCGAAAGTACTCCTTGTGGCGATCCTCATCCAGCCGAAGCTCCTGAATTAAAGAATGGAACTGTCCCCGCTCATTCTGAGTCCGTAGAATCGGGTGAACCCACAGCCTTCTCCTTTCCAGACGCTTTCGACGCCGTCGCATAAGACACAGTACAAGCACATCGGAATCCATGTTGTGATAACTGAGGGGAAACCTTGGCGCGTGATGTCATATCCTGCTCCCGCCCATATTCGCAGCGGCGTCCGAACAAAATTTTGCACGTTCAAAGCCTAGTGTGACCGCCCCTTAAGACTAAATCCAAAATGCCTGTCAAAATTAACACTATTTGTGACTCTCAAAAAGTAATCCAGTAACACATTATAATAACTGCACTATAACTCACTATGAATCGTTAGTTAAGCATTAGTAAATAGTCTCAATTGTCCCAACATTAATAGTCATTAGTAAGCAGGTTATAAATACAGCTATAAATGCCTTGTTCTTGATTTATCAGCATATCTATAATGTTTAATAATTCTATTTTCACACTTTATTAAAAATCAATTTATATTTTTTAAATTGAGTATTACATTATTTGCAAACCAGTTATTTAGTTGTCAGTGGTTCTTAAGACAATTTAGAAAGTGTAAGTAAATGATAAATAAACTATTTAAATGTACATTTATAAATCTTATTATTTAGACATATGATAATGTGTGTGTGTTTATTAACTTAGTGTGTTAATAAATGCTTCATTATATGATATAGTCAGTTAGCTATTTTTGATAGACTATTTATGCCTTGTAAAGCATTTACAAAGGAGATTTAAAGGCTCAGTTATCTTCCAAACAGAACAATTAAACAAACACAACACAGAGGGATACAGAACACAGAAATATTGTTTTCAAGATGCAAAAAATTTAACTGTACAACTTTAAATCTCCTTTGTAATAGACATGCTTATAAATCAAGAACAAGGCATTTATAGCTGTATTTATAAACTGCTTACTAATGCCTATTAATGTTGGGACAATGCTTTATAAAGGATGAACTGACTATTTACTAATGCTTAACCAATGATTCATAGTGTGCAGTTAGTAAGGTTTGTAATTCTAATCAGTTCCTCCTACTTGTTCAGGGATTGCTGCGCGCCATTCAGAATCCCTGAGCTTCATCACGGAGAGCACCTCGACTGGGACGCCTGGAGTACCACACAATCTATCATCGCTGAGGCCACTGCTGGGCCTCTGGAGAATACCTGTGCATCCCGTACACAATACAACCCCAACATTGTGGTCAAGTTGGATTTGTTTCACTGTATGAGGCGTTTCACACGGGAGTGCACTTCAGAGCACCATCCCCTCTACAGCACCTTTTGTCAGCTCCTCTCCACTGCATTTTCTGTCGTGGATCAGGAAGACCTGCAGAAGCTCAAGGATGCTTATCAGTTCTGTGGAATTCAGCCACCAAATCCTACAAAACAGCACATCAGAGAGCACTGTAGGACCAAAATTCCACAGCCAACAGAACTGGTCGACAGAGTGGAGAAAGTTCTTCGGCATTTCCACCTGACCACAGACCCAAACAACTTACCACTCTTCAAACCATCCATGCTGAAAACATGGCGTATCCAGAGGGTGCACATTCTCCGTGGGTGCCTCAGTGACCCTGAGGTCACAGAGGGAATCCTGTACAGGTATGGGGGAACTCTGCAACTTAATCATGTCCCTGGTGAAGGCGCAAAAGTCCCCATATGGATTCCAGTCAGAGGGACATCACAGCAGGAGGGGTATCATTTCCACCAGTCCCAGTGGATTACTGGTACTCATGCATCCTGCGAATTGTTTCAGGCCCAGGGCATGACAGGGGTGGCACGATGGAACTACCAAAGGCTTCTGGAAAATAAAATGCAAAAAGCAGTGAATGAGGTGGAGAATTGGGCGAGTAGTTGGGGTTTTCGGTTTTCTTTGGCAAAAACACAAGTAATATGCTTTTCGGAAAAGAAAAATAATCCAATTTCGAATGTCAAAATGTATGGTCATCAGCTGGAACAAGTAACTGTAGTAAGATTTTTGGGTATGTGGATGGACTCTAAATTAAAATGTAAAATTCATATTCAGAAATTGATAGAAAAAAGTAAAAAAGGAATAAATGTCTTCAGGTGCTTGTCCGGAGCTGAGTGGGGGCAAGCTGTCAGTCACTGAAAATAATTTATGATGCTGTGATTAGGTCAAACATAGATTATGGTAGTGTAGTTAACAGTTCTGCGAACAAAACCTTACTTAAAAAGATAGTCAATACAAAATCAAGCTTTGCGCATTTGCTGTGGAGCATTTAGATCTTCTCCGGTGGCTTCATTACAAGTTGAAACGGGAGAAGTGCCTCTAGAACAGCGTAGGTTTCAGCTGAGATTAAGGTACTGGTATGGTGTAAAGGGACATCTGGAAAACCGTCCAGTTAGACTACTTCTGAAAGATTGTTGGGAATATGAATACAAAGAAATTACAAGCTTTGGTTGGGTAGTAAGGAAGGAGGCAAACAGCTTGGAGTTGAAAGACCATGAAATTGCTCCTTCTGTTGCTATTCCAGCAATTCCTCCTTGGTTGTTCCCTATGCCACTAATTGATTTACAAATTCACAAAGTAATAAAAAAACCGGAGATGAACATGCCAACTGAAGTAGTAGTTCAACAATATATAAAACAAGAGTATTATTCTGTGTTACAGGTATTTACAGATGGGTCTAAGGAGCCAGAGTCTGGGAGAACAGCAGCAGCAGTTTATATTCCTACTTTTAAAATAAAAATGGCTAAAAGATTATCAGATCATGTGTCAGTTTTTACTACCGAATTATTAGCTATCATACTAGCTCTACAGTGGATCGAAGAAGTTCAACCAGAAAGAACTGTGATATGTACTGACTCAATGGCTGCGCTCACTAGTCTACTAAGTGGTAAATCTGAAGCTCGGCAAGACTTAGTATTTGAAGTTTTACAAAGTTTGTTTAGGATAAGGCAGTTAAGGATAGAGGTACATTTCCTCTGGGTGCCTGCACATGTGGGTGTGGATGGAAATGAGGAAGTAGACTTGCTAGCAAAGAAAGCATTAAATCATACACAAATAGAAATTAAGTTAGCTTTAAGTAAAGCTGAATTCAAGAGAGTGATATCATTTGAAGTAAGTAAGAAATGGCAAAAGTTATGGAATAATGGGTCTAAAGGAAGACATCTTTTCCAGATTCAGGAGTGTGTTGGAAATGAGAGGAAAAGATACGGAAATAGGAAGAAAGATGTCATCTTATCAAGACTAAGAATCGGACATACAGCATTAAATTATAGTCTTTATAAAATAGGTAAGCATGAATCGGGAAAGTGTGACAAATGTGGAGAATTAGAAACAGTGAAACATATTATTTTTGAGAGAACAGCGTAGGTTTCAGCTGAGATTAAGGTACTGGTATGGTGTAAAGGGACATCTGGAAAACCGTCCAGTTAGACTACTTCTGAAAGATTGTTGGGAATATGAATACAAAGAAATGACAAGCTTTGGTTGGGTAGTAAGGAAGGAGGCAAACAGCTTGGAGTTGAAACACCATGAAATTCCTCCTAGATGTACAAATTCACAAAGTAATAACAAACCAGAGATGAACATGCCAACTGAATTAGTAGTTCAACAATATACAATACAAGAGTATTATTCTGTTACAGGTATTTACAGATGGGTCTAAGGAGCCAGAGTCTGGGAGAACAGCAGCAGCAGTTTATATTCCTACTTTTAAAATACAAATTGCAAGGTTATCAGATCATGTGTCAGTTTTTATTTATTTTATACTAGCTCTACAGCGGATCGAAGAAGTGCTAGAACTGTGATGTGTACTGACTCCATGGCTGCGCTCACTAGCCTACTATGTGATAAATCTGAAGCTCGGCAAGACTGAGTATTAGAAGTTTTACTAAGTTTGTTTAGAATAAGGCAGTTAAGGATAGAGGTAAAGTTCCTCTGGGTGCCTGCACATGTGTGTGTGGATGGAAATGAGGACGTAGACTTGCTAGCAAAGAAAGCACTAAAACATCCACAAATAGAAATTAAGTTAGCTTTAAGTAAAGCTGAATTCAAGAGAGTGATATCAACTGAAGTAAGTAAGAAAGAGCAAACGTTATGGAACAGTGGGTCTAAAGGAAGACATCTTTTCCAGATTCAGGAGTGTGTTGGAATGAGAGGAAACGATACGGAAATAGGAAGAAAGATGTCATCTTATCAAGACTAAGAATTGGACATACAGCATTAAACTATACTTTATAAAATAGGTAAGCATGAATGTTACAGGTATTTACAGATGGGTCTAAGGAGCCAGAGTCTGGGAGAACAGCAGCAGCAGTTTATATTCCTACTTTTAAAATAAAAATGGCTAAAAGATTATCAGATCATGTGTCAGTTTTTACTACCGAATTATTAGCTATCATACTAGCTCTACAGTGGATCGAAGAAGTTCAACCAGAAAGAACTGTGATATGTACTGACTCAATGGCTGCGCTCACTAGTCTACTAAGTGGTAAATCTGAAGCTCGGCAAGACTTAGTATTTGAAGTTTTACAAAGTTTGTTTAGAATAAGGCAGTTAAGGATAGAGGTCAAATTCCTCTGGGTGTCTGCACATGTGGGTGTGGATGGAAATGAGGAAGTAGACTTGCTAGCAAAGAAAGCATTAAATCATACACAAATAGAAATTAAGTTAGCTTTAAGTAAAGCTGAATTCAAGAGAGTGATATCATTTGAAGTAAGTAAGAAATGGCAAAAGTTATGGAATAATGGGTCTAAAGGAAGACATCTTTTCCAGATTCAGGAGTGTGTTGGAAATGAGAGGAAAAGATACGGAAATAGGAAGAAAGATGTCATCTTATCAAGACTAAGAATTGGACATACAGCATTAAACTATAGTCTTTATAAAATAGGAAAGCATGAATCGGGAAAGTGTGACAAATGTGGAGAATTAGAAACAGTGCAGCATATTATTTTTGAGTGTTGAAACAGTCGGGCTCAATAAGACTCGGCGTTTAACAGGTAAACACACAAATGGTTTATGTACACATTGTAACCAACCTGAATCAGTAAAACATATAATAATAGAATAATGTCATGCATATGAAAATAAGAGAATAATATTAAAAGAAGTATTTGACAAATATAAACTTAAATTTACTTTGGAAAATATACTTGGAACAGCACTAAGGAAAACATATGTACAGTTAATTTCATATCTGAAAGAGACAGGTATCCTAGAACGAATATGAAGATCAAAGCATGCGTTTCGGGAGTTGGCTATATCATTCCCATAGTGAGATACCGAGCGATTGCTCGAAAGAGAACGTTACTTGCGTAACCCCGGTTCTCTGAGAACCGAGCGACGTATCTCACCAAGCTTCCCTACTCGCATAACACGGGGGAAGAGCGTGCTTAGAATGCCGTTTTCGGGGATCACAGCCATATATATAGGGAGGGGGGTGGGCTCCTTGTCATGAGCTGTGATTGGTCCGTCCTTCGGACAGACGTGGTGTAATTGGTGCTTCCATAGTCTATCACGCCTTTTCAGGATGAAAAGACAAACATTTCAGGTGAAGGATAATCCACTTCTTACCTCCGAGACTGTGTTATGATCTATATGACCTTATTATTTTTATTGTGAGTATTAGGCTTTTCATTATTGCTGATCACTGTTGTTGTGCTATGATATTGTAATATTTACCATTATATAATCAGAGGGGTATAGAAAAGTTTATGAAAGTGTCACTCCATAATACAATAGCAAAATATATAAATATAAATATATAAATCAGTATTTAGCGCACCTTCCTAAGGAAAGGATGTGGACCAGAAGACATTGCAATTACTAAATGATATTTAGACAGACTTAAAGAAGTTCCAGATCTATACGTGTGCTCTTATTATTTCAGTTATTTTGCCTTTAATGTAAATAAACATGTGCAAACAATATTCTTGCTCTTGTGAATTTATTTTGATGTTAATTACATTGTGCCAGCTGTCTCTTTAATACCGCGTGGTTTATATACATGCTGCTGCTGATTGGGCTGACATGTTTGACACACCCACCAAACAAGAGAAAACGCATCTCAAACCCCGTTGCACACCGTTTCCAGGAAACATGTCGTTCAGACCGGAAACAGTAGCAAAACGTTGCGCACCGGTTTGAGCTTGAACTTGCCCCAGCTGTGAATGGTTGTGGCTAGAAGGGATACAGCTCAGACCGGAAACGAACAATGAAATTAACTTTCTACCTATTAGATTGTGTTTTATTAACGTCTAGACCTACTCCAACCCTAAACCTACCCCTTACAATAATGAAAAAAATGGTAATTATTGTTGTACAGTGTGACAAAAGTTACGCTGTGTTGATGTGCGCATGCGCAGTATGTATCCCTTCTAGCTTTAACCGCTGTGAACGGGACTCTTATTTTGGCTGCCAGGCGCTGTGACGTCATACTCCCGCGACGCACTTCTTCTGCTCTCTTGTGATCCGGCTGAAGAAAGGTTTGTATGTGTTCATTTAAAGTGTTAAAATCGATGGCAAGTGTTCAAGCGTTAGTTATACACGATTAACGCTTTATCCAACAGTAATGAAGGTTATTTCTGTGAGTAAAGCGCATCCGTCCAGAAAAGGTGCGTCTCATGTCGCTCCCTATCGAGAACCCTTCAGTGTCGCGCCGCTTTCACACTGGACGCGCGAGCGGAGCTGAAGCGGAGCGTGTGTGTCGATCATTCGCTCGCGCTGTTCTCCGACAACTGTCTGTCGTGTGCGGCATGCTCTGCTGCGACGCGGCCGTGTTCCCCTCTGTCCCACACACACACACACTCCCTCTCTCTCTCACACACACACTCACTCACTCACTCTCTCTCTCTCACGCACGCGCACACACTCACTCACTCTCTCTCTCTCACGCACGCGCACACACTCACTCACTCTCTCTCTCTCACGCACGCGCACACACTCACTCACTCTCTCTCTCTCACGCACGCGCACACACTCACTCACTCTCTCTCTCTCACGCACGCGCACACACTCACTCACTCTCTCTCTCTCACGCACGCGCACACACTCACTCACTCTCTCTCTCTCACGCACGCGCACACACTCACTCACTCTCTCTCTCTCACGCACGCGCACACACTCACTCACTCTCTCTCTCTCACGCACGCGCACACACTCACTCACTCTCTCTCTCTCACGCACGCGCACACACTCACTCACTCTCTCTCTCTCACGCACGCGCACACACTCACTCACTCTCTCTCTCTCACGCACGCGCACACACTCACTCACTCTCTCTCTCTCACGCACGCGCACACACTCACTCACTCTCTCTCTCACACACAGACACACACACACACACACACACACACACTCACTCGCTCTCTCACACACACACACACACCAGGGTTTCAACAGACATGAACAAGTTAAATTTAAGACTTTTTAAGACCTTTTTAATACCACCTTATATGAAATTTAAGACCTGAACCTGTAATGATAATACACATTATATTACATACATATTAGGGCTGTCAAAATGGCTGAAAAACTCTATTCGAATTTTGTGCTTAAATATGATCAAAATTCTAATTATATTCTAATTTAAAAGGCATAATTTCAGTTAGGGTAAAGAAAAGCTTTTGGCTTCTCTCCTGAGGCCACAAACACACACACTCACTCACTCTCACACACACACACTCACTCGCTCTCTCACACACAGACACACACACACACTCACTCACACTGTCACACTCACTCACACACACTCACAGTAGGTACTATGCACACACACACACACACACACACTCTCACACACACACACGTGTGCATATAACACGATGTGTATAGGTAGTTTACATGATCAAAGGTAATCTTAAAGTTAATAAATGCCTCTAGTTTTAATAATCTAAACAGGCCTGTGAAGTTTGGGCAGTAACTCCTGGCAGTCATGTGTTTTCGTGTAACGTTAGTTGATTCTGTGCTAACTCCAATATTTGATGTTTTTTAAAATGTTGTAGATTTAAGCAGCAAATAAAAATTGCTTAATTTATTGAATATTTTTTGAGAAAAAGGTCTCAATGATTCCCAGTTTTGTTTAAGATAATTCAAGCAACAGTTTTTCAATAACTTTTACAACAATGTAAAAGCATGGTGTTTGGGGTAAAAGGCTCCCCTGCTGTTAGGTCTAAAGGCACAATAATTAACATGATGATTAATAGATGGCTGAGTTTTCCATTTGTTGACGAGACATGGTTGTCAGATGGTAAATATCACTGTCAATCTTAGAGATAATCACCTTGTTTATAATGAAACCATCATATTTAAAAACATGATAATAAACATCATATAATACAACATCATTTGTTGTTACTACTGTAAATCTATATAAGAGTATTATGGTATGTCCTTCAGTGCTTTCAGAATCTTTACTTTTTAAAATTATTTTGTTTCTGTATTTTCAAATATATTTTTATTAACATTTTAATGACGGTATATTTACAAAAAACCCCCAATTCTTTTATTTATCAAAATAAGCAGAAAAACTTTGCTAAAGTGGTTGTTTTGAACAAGTATTAACTTAGACATTAATAAAAAACATTATTTTAGCTGAAGTATTTGTAATACTTTACCCCTGCGTGCCTTTAGCCCTGTTGTACCCTATGTGTTTGTTTGTTTGTTTGTTTTTTCATATGGTGATTGTGAAACACGAAACACTTCACTTACATGATTTAATGTTTAAATTGTATTTTCCATGTTACTCAGTTCAATTTTGATCAAGAAAATGCACTGTGGCTTTAATTGAGCGTAAGCGGCAGCAATCGACTCGGGCCGAAACGCTCTGCTCTGCTCTGCTCTGCTCAGCTCTGCTCAGCGCTCACACACGCTCCTCTGGGAAGCACCACCCCAAACAACAAACCATCTCCACAACTATGCCGCTTAAACGAGCGTTTGTGCTGGGTTGCTGTTAGAGAGAGATTTATTTTTGTCATTTCAAATCGCTCCAAACCGGTGCCCAGAGCCACACTTAAGTAAAAGTAGAGATATCTCACCAGAAAAAGAGAAGTTGAAGTCAGGGGCGCCTGCAGAGTTTTTTTTCCTGAGGACCAAATGATCAGTGAGAGCAGAACGAGTGTGTCACGTTTTACACTCGACGAAATGGTGGAATACATCCATCAAGAGCATGCTCACAGATGAGAACAACAGAGAACAGACAGCGGATTAGAATCTGCACGGGCCTCAAATATACGCCCTATAGCCTTTTATAGTCTTTTTCCCCTCTATTAAAATCGTTCAGTTTAATATGTAATGGAAAAGTGATTATAATTAGTTTAGTTTTTTATTAAGTCAATTTAGAAAAACGTTTGGAGCATTTTTTGTTCGTTAAATGTATGTTTTTTTTCTTTGTTTTTTAAAGTAACGACCAAGCGGCCAGCGGCAGACAGTGAGCCTATGTTTGATCAGTTTAGCCTTCTCAAATCATCACGCCTAAAATAAAACCTATAGATATAAAACAGTTCAATATCACAATGTTAGTTTAAACGTTTAATCTAGATAAATGTGCGCTGTTAGGCGCAAATAAGCGTTTGTGCGGAGAGTGGAAGCTGAAGCGCATATGTATTTTTCATCCATTTTTTTCTTAAAGTGGAAACAAATTAAAATACGCAGTCATTTTTGCTCATAAAGAAGAGTAATACATCACTCGGAACTGTAAAGTTTCTACTTTAATTTGTGTGCACTCACAATTAGGGATGGGTATCAAGAACCGGTATTTTTTGGACCGGTGTGTAATTGGGTCAGTACCGGAGTACCGATAAGCTTCAGGACAACCGATACTGTTATCGATACTTGCGTTGTTTTATCTCCGTATACTTCAATGCTAACGAGGAATTAGAAGCTGCTGCTTGTCATTTCTCTACACTGAATATGATGTGTTCGAGGTTTGCTCGACGTGTGTGTGATATATGCGCATGTGCTTTAAAGCCTTGCCGGTTAAATGTTTTATTTGCGTGCTGTTCTGACATGTGCTTATTCAGAGCGCGTACACCCGAAGGGTGCGTACACTAAAAGACTTGTCAAACAGCACCTGATTACTTAGTTATCTTAGTTATCATCTGCTTGCGCTAATACTGTCAGAAACACACAAGGTTTACATATAAACACAGTTAGTTATGTCTAAAGTGAAAGTAAACAGTTGAGAGAAAAACAGATGCGTGCAGCTCTTAAAGGGACAGTACTATGCTGCCGCTTATCATTAAAGGGATAGTTCACCCAAATAAATGGTAAATTAAATTCTGTCATTATTTACTCAGTCATGTTGTACCAAACATGTATAAATTTTTATTTATTCTTGTGCTGAACACAAAAGAAGATATTTTGAAGAATGTGGGTAACCAAACAGTTGCTGGTCCCCACTGACTTTAATAGTAGGAAAAAAAATATGAAAGTCACTGGGAACCAGCAACTGTTTAGTTTCCCCAGGGCTTGCAAAATGTCTAAATCCCTGGTAGCCCTTCGGGCAGGCATTCTTCAGATTTTGGTAGCCCAAAAATGAATTTAACTAGCCCAAATAAAATATATTGTATTTTTTCTTCAAATAACAAGTCAATGCAATGGATCACAAATCTCACAGTTCGGATTATATTACATTATCATATCAGATTTTGAGTCACAGATCGGATCATTTTTCAGATGAGCAAAAAAAATATGGTTCTTTATTATTTAAGTAATGCTTATTATTTAAATAACAATTTACGACTTCGATACCACAGCAAAAACTAGTAGCATATAGGGATGTAACGATTCACTCAACTCACGATGTGATATGATTCACGATACTGATTTCACAATACAATTTTCTCACAATTTCTTTTTAACAAAATGAGTTTTAAGACAGATTTTAAAAAAGATCCCAAATCAATAATACAAATAAAATAAATTTCTCCATGCAAGTAAACTAAGGTTTTGCCTGTGTATTTTGTGTATTTTATATTATGCTCTTTTACAAAGTCTTGATTTTGTTTTGGGGGTGTACTAGAACAGGCTCTCATACTAGGTTGTTCAAAAAACACATTATTTTTCACATATTTTACATTATTACAATTAGAGGTCGACCGATAGTGGATTTTACCGATACCGATAGCTAGGTTGGACCACACTGGCCGATACC